TTGGGGCTGTTGTATTGGGGCTGTTGTATTGGGACTGTTGTATTGGGGCTGTTGTATTGGGACTGTTGTATTGGGACTGTTGTGGTGAAGCTGTTGTATTGAGGCTATTGTATTGGGGCTGTTGTATTGGGGCTGTTGTGGGGAGGATGTTGTATTGGGGCTGTTGTATTGGGGCTGTTGTATTGGGGCTGTTGTATTGGGGCTGTTGTGGTGAAGCTGTTCTGAGTTCTGTTATATAACCTTCAGTTCAATTCTTCGAGATCTAAAACGTTCGATCGTTTAGATATCACGACTCAAGGAGCACCTTATGATGCTACACTGCAAGTTCTGACTCGGGCTCACCATAGCCCGTGCTACTTGGAACTTTTATGTTCCAGATAGCAAATCTTTAACAACAATAACAAGTTCTGACTTACGCCGTCACCACCTGCTATTTTCTACCCATTGGGAGCATGGGAGCTCTCTCACACGGTTAAGGGCGGTGGCTGAGCGGACAGTGATCTAGATTCGTGGGCCTAGGGACCTAGGGTTCGATTCCGCGGCACCGCCGGGAAAAACAAAATGGGCAGAGTTTCCCTTCCCTTGATGCATATGTTACCGTGACAGCTGATTAACTCCCAGGTACCTATTTACTGCTAGGTAACAGGGGCATCAGGGTGAAAGAAACTCTGCCCATTGTTTCTCGCCGGCGCCCGGGATCGAACCCGGGACCACAGAATTACGCGTCCAGTGTTCTGCCCGCTCAACCACCGGCTCCCTGCTAGAGCAATTTTTATTTTTATTTGTACCCAGGAGGGTACAGGAGCTGCTGACTCCTGTTAGCTGGCTGAGAGCTTTCCCTTCCCATAGCTCATGGTAAGCCTTACCCTACTAGTTTTCCCTGGAACACGACCCGCCAGTGAGTTTACAACCAGGTACCCAATTACTGCTGGGTGAACAGAGGCGAACCACTTCCCCCCCCAGTTAAAGATGTTCATTCAGTTAATCTTCCCTGGCCAGGACTCGAACCCTGACCAAATCCTTCGCCACAACATTTGAAACTGTCCTAAAAACTGAGAAAAAGATAGAATTTTTCCCTATAGTTTATAGACACCAATTAATATGGCATCTATTTAGAAACTTGGCGATTAAACGAAATTGTGGGAATCTAGAATTGGTTTAATATATAAACAAATGAACAAAACTTCGGTTTCACCTCTTTTAACCCTGTCGTAGCTCAGTCGATTAAGGCAGCGTCTGGGATGCTCCCGGACGCAGGTTCGAATCCTCGTCACGGCCCTTGTGGATTTGTTCATTTGATGCATCACGTTAGAGTGATCTCTGTGTGAATAATGTTTTAATATATAATGAAGCAGTGCAATAGACTCGAACACACTCCCCTATTGCCTCATTTACACACTGAACCGACTGAACCATGACATGGGGGGGCTTAACACGTCTTAATCACGTCTACGTTATGGAGGATTTCCATCATGCAGAATAGCATTCATCTCGGGGAATCGAGCGTAGAAAGAGGGCAGTTTTTGCGTCATGCGTCGTTCCTTGTGTACTGGTCTAGCTAATGAAAACGACTCGGTCGTGCTGATTTGGCTGTGGCGTGGACAACACACACTCCCAAGTGTGTGTGTGTGTTGGTGTGCGTGGGGGGGGGGGGTGCTAGTGCTGCTTGCCACCACCAACAACACAGTGGAACCAATGCTTGGTCCATTACCGGAGCACGAAGCTGAATATAATCCATTTATAATCCCTGGAAGAATTCTCTCCTCTCATTGCCTCCAGCTGGGAGTTATCTTGAGGTTATTTTAAGGTGATATCGGGGCTTAGCGCCCCCGCGGCCCGGTCCTCGACCAGGCCTCCTTTTTGTTACACATCCCCAGGAAGCAGCAGCCCGTAACAGCTGTCTAACTCCCAGGTACCTATTTACTGCTAGGTGAACATGGGGAGCATCACGGTGAAATAAACTCTCCCCATTTGTTTTCGCCTCTACCGGGGATCGAACCCGGAACTTCAGGACTACGAATCCCGAGCGCTGTCCACTCAGCCGTCAGACCCCTCAACGGAGTCAAGGAAGAATTTACATATTTTATTATTTATATTTTCCTATTTATTTTTAAATTTATTCTTATTATAGCAGTTATTCCTAAAATCTAGGCACTGTACAGCCATTTTAAGGTGATAGAGTTTTCTGATATAATTAGACGTTGTTGAGTAATTAAAGCTTCTTAAGTGTTGACTAGTGCAAGATTGAGGTAATCCTTGGCACTCTCCATTGTGCATCTTTGCAATTGCAAATGTCTGTCTTTATTTGGTTGTGAGCAATGAACCTTGATGATAGCGACCTTCAATGGAAGGAGGAGCTCCTGAGACTTTCTGGAGGAACAGCTCGAGACTTAATATATATATATATATGGAAAAAATCATTCAACAATCGTCTAATGTTAAACAATCATCTAGTGTTAAACTTTTGGGCACTGAGACATCATTTATGGTATCCCTATTTGTACATATTTAGAGTTAATGTTAACTCGTTGAAATAGCTGCTGTATCACGTTAGTAATGCTGAATGATTTAACATTTATGTATTTACATGTCTCTAATCCCATGGGAGTGATGGAACATCTATGGGGTCAGGATTAACCCCATTGGTGAGGATATAATGAGAATTCAAGGCTTTAATCCTTGCCTTTTTAAACCACCATTGAGGCTGGTGGTTTATCCTTGCCTTTTTAAACCACCATTGAGGCTGGTGGGTTATCCTTGCCCTTTTTAAACCACCATCCCATCCATTTACAATTCCTCCTTATCCAGCATATCCAATCTAATATAACACAATTAAACAGCTTTCCCCTCGTAAAGCGCCATCATATGTAACAATTAATCCATTAATCCTTCTCCCCCTTTGTTCATATCACTCACAATCCGCCCCCTTCCCTTATCCATATTTCTAATAATCCTCCCCTCTCGTTCCGTCCATACCTCTAACAATCTCCCCTCGTTCCATCCATACTAACTAACATACTCTAACTAACTACCCCTCTACAATACCTCTAACAACCCACACCACCACCCTCCCCCATCTCTAACTACGCCCTCCCCCATCTCAAACCACGCCCACTTCCCTCTCCTTAATTATACATCAACAGCAGTTAACTCGCCAACGAGAACCACCAATCATTATACCATCTCCAGCTAACGGAAAGCAAACATTATATTCAATACAGAGAAATAACTTCCCACTCAATGATGAATATATAATGAGTACCCATTTGTCTCTTTGATGAATTGTCAGTGTAAAATGGGGAATTAATGTGCCTGTGTCCTAATGGGCTGTCTCCTGGTAATTGGCAATTTTTCAAAGGTTTACGACCTATTTAGCGATAAGATTTGATTTATAACAAATAATAATGATGGGGAGAAGCTGATAAACATCGGATGTATGTTTAAGTAATTTTTTTGGCTAGTTTTTTTATGAAAGATAATTTAAAATGTAATTTTAAACGTAAACATAAAAGTTATACAAAATCGTAATTAACTTCGTCTCGTTAATCTGACCCGTCTAGAGTCATATATATATATATATATATATATATATATATATATATATATATATATATATATATATATATATATATATATATATATATATATATAATTACATTTTACTCTTATATTTGCATTTCTTAATGACCATCTTTGCTGAGGAAAGATATTGATTCTATTCAGACTCGAAAGTCTGGGCTTTCGAATCCATCATTTCGTCAGCGATTTCTGTCGGATTCGTCTCTTATAATCCTATTGGCGTAGCACTTTGTCTAAATTATATATTTATAATTTTCAACCGGGTTCGAATCGCCAATAGGACACGTACAGCACTTCGGTAGCGTTTAGGCAGCAGGGAAATAGGCTGAACCTCAACGTGGTAAGAATAAGTCCTTGTCAAAATTATAGCAACGACAGAAGGTATTCACAAATGGCTTCCAGTCAAATGTTTTTTCCTTGAGAAAGATCTAGACGGCTGTTATATGGTTTCGTGATCCATCTGTGCTCTTTGAGATCCTTGGGTATGATCCATCGTCTATTAATCCACCCCTGGAAGAGGGCCACGCCCCCTCTCTTACACACCTGAGCTGCCGATGATAACCAGGTGTGAAGAGCGGCAGACGTACTAGCCAGCTGTCAGATGGGTATCTTCCGAGGAGGCAAGCCTGGCCTCCCACCGCTGATTTCAATTTAATGCCTAGTTCCGACAGGACCTGCGTTTCACACCCGGTTTTGGCCGTCCGAATATCGCGTGTTACCGCCCCGACTATACCCAGAGGACGCGTTGGCTGACGGCTCTTGTCTGGGGTATCCTAGAAGCCCTTGGGGCCACTGGGCAGGACCTGCCTCGTACTCCTATAATATGTGCGGTATCGTCAAAAGGATTCCGTCTATCACCTATCATTTTCCCCGGTTGTAACAGCGGGTGATTGTTCACACTATGATGTCTGGTGTTTGGTAGGAGTTGTGAGGGGGGGGGGGAGGGAAAGGAGAGATTAAGGGTGAAGACGGAAGGGGGTGAGAGTGAAACATCTTGAGAAAGGGGGATTAGTGAAGTACAAACTCACACACAAGTGAATATTAAAGAATGCGTAAATGAAAGCAGTTCAGAATTAAATTGATTTGTTCCGGATGCACAGTGAAAACACAACAACATGCTGAATCCACTTTACATAATTTACTACTAAATTTACTATTGAATTCACGTTATTGGCCTCATATCCCAGCTCCCTGTCCTCATATCCCAGCTCGCTCTCCTATCCCATCTCCTTATCCTCATATCCCAGTTCCTTGTCCTCATATCCCACCTCCTAGTACTCATATCCCAGCTTCTGTCCTCATATCTCAGCTCACTCTCCTATTCCAGCTCCTGGTCCTCATACCCCAGCTCCTTGCTGAAACAAACCATTTCCTCCTTACACAAATAGGAAAATCAGTTCTTTCGTCTCTTTATCCGACAGCCATGAAGCAATCTAGTTCCAGCTCGGACATCGAGGACGGGTCAGAGGACGAGGACGACCCGCAGATGATGCTCAAGCGGAAGCAGCGACGTTCAAGGACGACCTTCACGGCCCACCAACTGGACGAACTGGAGAAGGCCTTTGAAAGGACTCAATACCCCGACATCTACACGAGGGAGGAGCTTGCCCAGAGGACCAAACTCACTGAAGCTAGAATACAGGTAAGATATCTTAAAAAAAAAGATAGCGCGGTATAGAACTTTGGCTTCACACATTAGGGGGTCTGTGGTTCGAGTCTCTAAGAGCCCAGGTGGATGAAATACAGGTAAAAGAGCTCCGATACAGTGATAGGACGCGACTCCAGGCCCCATAGAACAATTTTTCTGTAACCAGGTTACAGTGCATTTGCCCATAAGGTCAGGATACAGTGAACTCGGCCGAGATCAAGGCTCGGTAATGCTTACCAAGTTGGTAAGCTGGAAATACCTGAAAGTTGTTGTTGTTTAAGATTCGCTACTTGGAACAAAAAGTTCCAAGCAGCACGGGCTATGGTGAGCCCGTAGATACCTTAAAGCTTACCAAAACCTTAACTCGTGCTTAAACTTGAACCCTTGAACGGTCCTTGAGCTTACAAAGGTCAGGATTTTGGGGTGTTAGACTATTAACAGTACACAAAGTCCTTTATAGATATACAGGATGTTAGAAACCTTACTAAAAACATAGTAAAGGTGAGTTTACTATGCAGGGTAAAGTTGTACAGTGATATGTAGAGTAAAACCAGTAAACTCATAGTAAAGACTAGCTAGCTGCAAGGTGAGTATTTTAGAGAGAGAGAGAGAGAGAGAGAGAGAGAGAGAGAGAGAGAGAGAGAGAGAGAGAGAGAGAGAGAGAGAGAGAGAGAAACAAATAAGTCGTTTGATACTGCAACTCTCTCTCTCTCTTCACTGTGAACGTCATGTTCCTTACTAACTCAACATTTTGACTCTCCTAGCTAACTAAAAGCTCTATAGCTCTCCTAGCTACCTCAAGGAGGTATATTTCGTAGAGATAATGGTCCAGAATGGACCGAAACGTCGTCGTTTCTCCATTTTCTCATGTATGGTTTGGTCATATCTTCAGACAAGTTATTGTGACTGATTGTCCATACACACACGCACACACACACACACACACACACACACACACACACACACACACACACACACACACACACACACACACACACACACACACACACACACACACACACAATCCCTCCCCAGGAATCTGAATTCAGACAAGAATTCACCTCTGCATTGCCTGCTACTCTTGCATCTCCCAAACACCCTATTACTCCTCCGTCTACGAAGTAAAGCAACAAGTCTTCCGCTGTCCCTTAGGTGTGGTTCAGTAATCGCCGGGCGAGATTGAGGAAGCAGATGGCTTCAGGCAGTATGAGTAACTTCAATGCAATGGGGCTACCTATGGCCTATCATTCTCCACCATCCTCATACATGTTCCAGGGCTTTTCAGACCCCAGCTCCACCTTCTCTGCCCAGACACAAGGTAAATCCACCTCCTACTCCTCCCTTACCTTGTAAGGAATGCATGGAATTTACCCTACATTCCTTTCAAGCAGGTAAATATGGAATAAGGTATTCCTTGTAAGGAATAAGGAATTCCTTGTAAGGAATAAGGAATTCCTTGTAAGGAATAAGGAATTCCTTGTAAGGAATAAGGAATTCCTTGTAAGGAATGCAAGGAATTTAAATATAATTAAAGATAAAGATAAAGATATCCTTGTATCTTACAAGAATACAAGGATATTCTTGTATCCCTGTAAGGATACAAGGCTATCCTTACCTTCTAAGGAATGCAAGAATGCAAATCAATATTTATAAGAGTTCTTACATTCTTGTAAAGCAACCAGCAGATTAATCTGCGGCTATCCAGAGAATCTTCTTCTGTGTCGTAAGAAGCAAGATATCGTCTTCAAATTCAAATTTATTGAGATATATCACACAAAGGGGATGAGATAGGTCAAGCTATTCTCATCCCCGAGTAGTCAAAGGTGAAGACACTGAGACACATTCTCCTTTCAATATCTAAATATGCATATAAATGTATATAATTATTCTGTTTTCGAATATTATTATTATTTGAAAAGGCACATGAGCCTTTCAAATTATATTGAGAAATTATATTGAGAATTATATTGAGAATTATATTTATACTGTTTTTTATGAAGGCTGTCAATATCTATTAGAATGTCAACTAGAGATATAATGGGGGTGAAATTACTAGAGTGACGTATAATAGGGACAACTAGAGTAAGGCATAGTAGGGAAAGAGGGGACATAACAGGTATAGTCCTCCCATTACGCCACAGGATAGTAACATTAACCTAACCATTTCCCCCTTTTTCTCTGGCGCCCATTAGACACCTCTGGGTTATACCAGGGGGGTTCTGGCGGCCTACACCAGGGGGCCCTGGCCTCGGAGGCTCGGGCTGCTAATATGAGCGCTGCTGCCGCCGCTGCTGCCTATCCTTCGATGAGTGCCGCGCTATCCTCCTGCACTAACTCCGCCTTCATCGCCTCTCAGGTGAGTCACTGAGGTGGATCTATCGCGTATTAGGTGAGTCGCTGAGGTGGATCTATCGTGTATTAGGTGAGTCGCTGAGGTGGATCTTTCGTATATTAGGTGAGTCGCTGAGGTAGATCTTTTGTGTATTAGGTGAGACGCTGAGGTGGATCTATCGCATATTAGGTGAGTCGCTGAGGTGGATCTATCGTGTATTAGGTGAGTCGCTGAGGTGGATCTATCGCGTATTAGGTGAGTCGCTGAGGTGGATCTATCGTGTATTAGGTGAGTCGCTGAGGTGGATCTTTTGTGTATTAGGTGAGACGCTGAGGTGGATCTATCGCATATTAGGTGAGTCGCTGAGGTGGATCTATCGCATATTAGGTGAGTCGCTGAGGTGGATCTATCGCATATTAGGTGAGTCGCTGTGGTGGATCTATTGCCTCTCAGGTGAGTCACTGAGGTGGATCTATCCCTTTTCATTGTTACCATTTATTGCAAGCATAAAATCCTTCCCCCCAATTCTCCTGGACGGTAGAGCGACAGTCTCGCTTCATGCAGGTCGGCATTCAATCCCGGACCGTCCATAAGTAGTTGGACATCATTCCTTTCCCTCTCATCCTATCCCAAATCCTTATCCTGACCCCTTCCCAGTGCTATATAGTCGTAATGGCTTAGCGCTTTTCTCCTGATAATTCCTTCCCATCCTTTCCAGTAACGAATCTTACTTTTATTTATATATGAAGATAAATATGTGTATTTGTAGGCGAATATTGCAATATTATTATGTCTGTATGCACAATGAGATCGGAATAACGTGATATCTAAAAAAAAAGTATTTGGAGCAGGGCGGTGGTATCGAACTCGCGTCTAAGCTGACCCCCAGGACGTTGGTTCGATTCCAATGATTTTATCAATATGAATGTACAATTTAGCGGTGATACACGATGTGTCATGACTCGCTACGTATCAGTCACATACTGTTGAGTACAAATTTTATGGTCTATTCATGCCCATGCTCTTGGGTAGCTTAATCTTCAATCAATAAGATCACAGATTCAATGAGAAATCAGAAATCGACTTGAGAATGGTCCAGGACGGACCGAAACGTCGTCGTCCCTTCACTTTCTAGTGTGTGTGGTCTGATCAACAGAAATCAGAAATCGACTTGAGAATGGTCCAGGACAGACCGAAACGTCGTCGTCCCTTCACTTTCTAGTGTGTGTGGTCTGATCAACAGAAATCAGAAATCGACTTGAGAATGGTCCAGGACGGACCGAAACGTCGTCGTCCCTTCACTTTCTAGTGTGTGGTCTGGTCAACAGAAATCAGAAATCTACTTGAGAATGGTCCAGGACGGACCGAAACGTCGTCGTCCCTTCACTTTCTAGTGTGTGGTCTGGTCAACAGTAATAAGAAATGTTGATCTTGTCGTAAAGGAATGGTAAGAGACATCAGATTCTCATCTCGTCTCTGTGGATTACTTTTGCAGACTCCTGGAGGGATGTGTGGAAGTCAGGGCACTACAGGGGGCGCTGCCGGTGTGCCTTCAGCCCTGACCTCTGGCGGGTCCTGGGCCTCCAATCAGCTAAGGGGGGCAATGGGGGGTGGGGCGGGCGGTTCGCCCCCCACTGCCGCCCCCTTCTCCCACGGTCTGGCCCACCACCCACGCACGCCCACGCAGCACTTCCCCACGCCCGTCTATTCCTGGTACTGATCCGATCTATTAGGTGAGAATTTCAGTGGTTTTTAATAGTTGTTTAGCCTCCTAGAATTATTTTTTGCAACCTTTGCTCCTGAATTGATAGTCTTTATATATCAACTATTTGGTCAAACGTACAAAAATGGACTGATGGATGCCCATAAGGTCCATTTGTATTATTTAATTACCTCCAAATGGCGTCCCTAAAACCGTAGAATAACTTAAAAACCCTAACCTAACCTGCCCAAGTAATTCTAGGCCTAAATATAGTTACCAACCTTGTTATAATAGGCCTAGGAATATTGATTTTTTTTTTGCACCTGTACAAAAATATAGAATGGGAATATTGTTGAGTATAACAGTCCATTTTTGTACGTATCGACCAAATAGTTGGTACAAATGGAACCATTACAGATGTATACGTGATTTTTTTTATGTATTTGTCTAATGTATTTGACGATTATTTGTATGCGTTTTGTATTCGTCTCTGGCCTAATATTTACACAAAGATACTAAGCAAGAAATATATGATTTACAATGATATAAATATATATACTTCAAAAATGTCACACATTTTGTAATCATGTACATGATTAGAACCAAATAGGTTCAGTACAGTTCACAATGAAATAGGTAGAAGCCAATACTCAAGAAATCAGGAGCAAATGACAAATTTTCCCCTGAATGCTCCTTATCTGCTTCACCAAGGCTATGGGTCCCCACAACTGCACTAGAGGTGGTACCCCTTTATATATATTTATATGTTTTTATATATATTTATATATATAACATTTTTTCGCTCTGTGTTAATGTGTATTCTTCTAAGGGTAATATTTGTTTAATTCTAATTAATATTGGCTAATCCGCATGCTTGTAATTGATTAATTAAACACTGGTTATGGATTTGATTTGATTTGATCAAATCAAATCAAATTTGATTTGATTTGGTTATGGAGACATAACAATATGAATAGAGCTGGTCAAGCACCTGAACATTCCTATGACTCTGTGACTCTGTCTCTATGTCTCTATGTCTCTATGTCTCTATGTATCGCTCTGTATCTCGAGTAATCTTCCTATGAGAATGCTTAACCACCGCCAACACCCTGAAGACATTATCGCTAAATTCTGGCGTCATGATTCTCTCTCTTTTACAGGCTGGATCAGCACTGGAGCGATCGCAATAACCAATTGAATCCAGAAGTTATCTCCCTCGGGGATTCTGATTGGCTCTTCTCTCCAAGGCAGGAGAGGTTTCCACGCGAGTCACGACTTCGCCCTCAGGCTTGGCCGCACTTCTTAGCCTTGATTCTCAGACAATCGCTTGAGCAACATACCAAAACAAGGAGGAGGCGCGCGCCTGTGTCTTAACAACGTCTTGTTCGATAGTGTTGTAAATACGACCAATCTTAGCGATCTGTGTGTTTAAGGGTCGTTAAGAGTTTGGCTGGGAGTAATTTCTGGGTGTTAAAATGCACCTTTCTGGAATAGACTCAATAGACACCTTGCCAATAGACTGATGAAGGAACACACTGTTACAGATGAATAGTTTACTCCAGTGAACCTAAATGATTTCCTTTCACTAAGCTGAATTATGTATTAATGAGGAACAATGTATAATTATGTATTATAATTTATATATCCTCTATATTCTTCACGAGATTATTATTATTAATTTAGTCAACAGCGTTTTGTTAGTATGAACTAACAAAATTTTTTTGCAACCTGTTGGGTGCTCAAAGAATTTTTGCTCTGCTGTTAGAACGTCTCAAAAATAGCATTGACTTTAGGCAAATGTTTATTCAGCCTGAGAAAAAACAAGAAAATGATACTGAAGTGAACAGACCTACTTATAAATACCACCATCACATCAGGTTTTCCTGTTGTCTTAAGTGTAGGCGAGCCACGAGAGAGATATAATACATTTCAACCTCCATTGCGACAGTAATACGTGGTTTAAAGATAATTGAATAGTCTGTCCTCAATCTCAAACGTTTTCTGTCTAATCTCATCTATTTCTCTATACATTTTTATTCATTCTGTCCATACATAGTGTTTATCACTTCATAAACACTTTCGTATTGCTAAATATTCCCAATTCTTGTATTTCATCGTTTCTCCATCTTTCTACTTATTCATTTGTGTCTCTTTTTATTGTTCGAGTTCTGGTCAAAGTGTTCGGTTTTACGCCAAAAACAACACACGCTAGAAAAAACAAAAGACATTCGCTGGTGCTCACAGAAGAGCAGTGTGGGTGTAATATGGGCGTGATATGGGACTGCTATGGGCGTGATATAGGACTGCTATGGGTGTGTTATAGGACTGACTGATATGGACGTGTTATAGGACTGATATGGGTGTGTTATAGGACTGACTGATATGGGCGTGTTATAGGATTGCTATGGGTGTGTACAGGACTCCTGTGGGCGTGTAGTGGGCGTGTAGTGCAAGGCGCGGGTCACATAAAGCTGTGACTCGCTCTTGGCAGGCTTCACGAAGCTTGGTGAAGCGGCGAAGGAAGCTTACTTGAAAGGTTATGGTAAGTGCCTCTCCTTGCTCCTGTTAAGGGCCTCTCTTTGCTCCTGTTAAGGGCCTCTCTTTGCTCCTGTTGAGTGCCTCTCTTTGCTCCTGTTAAGGGCCTCTCTTTGCTCCTGTTGAGTGCCTCTCTTTGCTCCTGTTGAGTGCCTCTTCTTGCTACTGTTAAGTGCCTCTCCTTGCTCCTGTTAAGTGCCTCTTCTTGCTACTGTTAAGTGTCTCTCCTCACTCCTGTTAAGTGCCTTTTCTTGCTCCTGTTAAGTGTCTTTCCTTGCTCCTGTTAAGTGCCTCTCCTCACTCCTGTTAAGTGCCTTTCCTTGCTCCTGTTAAGTGTCTTTCCTTGCTCCTGTTAAGTGCCTCTTCTTGCTCCTGTAAAGTGCCTCTCCTCGCTCCTGTTAAGTGCCTCTCTTTGCTCCTGTTAAGTGCCTCTCCTCGCTCCTGTTAAGTGCCTCTCCTCGCTCCTGCTGATAAGTGCTTTTTAGATAAGTGTTAAGTGTAGACTCGAGTATCCTACAGCTCAGGTGAATGGTACATGCAGAAATTACAGGTATCGAGGGGGTAGGGGGGGGAAGAGGCCTACGACCTAGGCTTAGAATAGGTAAACTCAAACTGAAAACCTCACATCTCTCTGATTCCCCAGAATGGGTCCAAGCGATTGGGCATTCTTTTGGTCTACCTTCGTGGGAATTGTCACGTGTGTGTGACAAAGACATGTCACACACCTGACTAATACCTACGACTGTACAGTCTTGGGGGGGGGGGAGAGGGGGGGGAGGGAAGACCATTGAAAAATTATAATGGATCACATGGAACAAATCCTATGAAATGTATTGTACTTTGACAAAATAGTAACGGCTTATGAGTGGGATGAAGTTTAATGGTTCCTGTTATCACGTGAATGCAGCTCTAATTGAATCACGTGAATGCAGTTCTAATTGAATCACGTGAATGCAGTTCTAATTGAATCACGTGAATGCAGCTATAATTAAATCACGTGAATGCAGTTCTAATTGAATCACGTGAATGCAGCTATAATTAAATCACGTGAATGCAGTTCTAATTGAATCACGTGAATGCAGCTCTAATTGAATCACGTGAATGCAGGAGGTTATGGCATTCGAATTGATGTATTTTACGACAGCAATGGCTAATGTCACTTTTGTTAACTCGGTCTATTTTGTTGTATGGGGGTCCACATGTGAAAACAGGTTTGTAGAGGGGGCCCCACATGTGAAAACATGATTATATACGGCCCCCACAAGTGAAAACATGGTTGTAGAGGGCCCCCCCCCTACATGTAAAAACATGGTTGTATAGGCCCCCCTACATGTGAAAACATGGTTGTAGAGGATGAAATGAGACATGAAAGGTTTGGAACCACTAATCTAGATGATAATGATGCTGAACTGAGGATCAAGATTCGATATCTCTAAAGAAAGCTTATATACAGCTTGAGTTTACTTTGGTACAATACAGCCTGTGTTTACCTTGGTACAATACAGCCTGTGTTTACCTTGGTACAATACAGCCTGTGTTTACTTTGGTACAATACAGCTTGAGTTTACTTTGGTACAATACAGCCTGAGCTTACTTTGGTACAATACAGCTTGAGTTTACTTTGGTACAATAGGGAAAAACTGCTTTATTGCCAAAAAATACAACTAATTTAGTAACAAATGCTCAAAAAAAAATTATGAACTTACCAAGAGAGGAAGAACAACTTGGCCACACAGAGCGAGATTGATTCGATTTCAGCTCCTGGGCCCCGCCTCTCAATTCTCAATCAACCGATGTACAGATTCTACTGGGCTCTATCATACTTACATTTGAAACTGTATATATAGAGTCAGCCTCCACCACATCACTGCCTAATGCATTCCATTCCTTAACTACCCTGATAATGCTAAGGACCATCACCAGACGGAATTGTCAGCACAAGCATGAATAGCACTGAATCTGCTTGTTATAAAAGCTCATTGATGAATAGAGTTTTTGAAGCTCTATTCATCAAAATGAATATAGAGAATTGGCTCAACACAAACAAGCTTGGAGAACTCATCAGCTGCGGGAGTGACAGCTGTTGAATCATCAACAGCTGTTGAATCATCAACAGCTGTAATACAGTGATTAGACAGAAGCTGGAACGCCAGAGGACGGAAGCTTAGAGGGTAAAGCTTAGAGCCGTGCTCTCTTAAAGCTTTATCAATATCCAGGCAATAGAGCTACCGTAATGCTTAAGCTCAACCATCTTGGTGATCGTAGAGGCTATAGAGCGCTCTATGGTGATCGTAGAGGCTATAGAGCGTTCTATGGCGATCACAGAGGCTATAGAGCGCTCTATGTCGATCATAGAGGCTATGCAGCGCTCTATGTCGATCACAGAGGCTATAGAGCGCTCTATGTCGATCGTAGAGGCTATAGAGCGCTCTATGTCGATCACAGAGGCTATAGAGCGCTCTATGTCGATCGTAGAGGCTATAGAGCG